GATGCCCTGCCTTTAGTTCCCAGCTCAACACTGCTTTCCTCAGATCTTTTGTTTTCTGACTTTAATAGTGATTTTTAATGATGCCAGCTTTGAAAAATATGAGCTTTCTTTAATATACAGCTGTTCTTTGTAAGAAAAGATCACTGAACGTTTTGCTTTTATTTACAACTTATTTCTCTTATTGATTGCTAGTTATGTGCTAGGTGTTAGGAGTATAGAGGTGAATAAAGGCATGGTGCCTACTTAGGGAATTTACACTTAATAGAGGAAGCTGCAAGATCCACCCAAAAGAGGATTCTGTAGAGGAGGATACATACAATTGTTATGTATCAATATAAATATCAAAAAGAATATCTTGTAAAATAACTATTGCTTTTATGGTTTCATCAAGTCTATTAATGGTAAATACTGTCACAAACACATGTGATTATAATACATCCTTTTTAAAAGGCCTAATAGGGTTGTTAGCAACTTTTAATGCCTTCTTCCTTTTGTCAAAGCCACATTTTCTGATTTGCTGTTGTTTGTTGTTTATTTCTGAGACAGAGTCTTGCTCTGTCACTCAGGTTGGAGTGCAGTGGCATCATTTTGGCTTGCTGCAACCTCCGCCTCCCTAGTTCAAGCAATTCTCCTGCCTCAGCCTCCCAAGTCACTGGGACTACAGATGTGTACCACCACGCCCGGCTAATTTTTGTATTTTTAGTAGAGACAGGGTTTACCTGCATTGGCCAGGCTGGTCTCAAACTCCTGGCCTCATGTGATCCACCCACCTTGACCTCCCAAAGTGCTGGGACACACTTTCTGTTTGGATAAGCTCTGTTCTTCCCTCTACACTGCATGGCTGGATTCTCTTCAAGTCTTGACTTCTCAGACCACTGTAGCTGTAGAAAAAGGAGGCTCCCTCATTAGTGTCCATCTCAACCTTTAGTTTTTTTTCATGGCATCAGTGATAGTCTGTAATTATTTATTCATTTGTTTACATGTTTTTAATTGCTTCCCCCCATAGGACGTAAGCATCCATAAATGCAAGGCCTGTGTCTTTCCTGCTGCGGTCTTCTTAGCTCCTGCCACATGTACATGCTCAGAGACCATCTGTGAAGTGAATGAGCCCCGCCCCCTCTTAGCTGCCTCCTTGCCCAATTCTGTCTCCGCCCTTGCTGCTGTTCTGTCCTCTCTTCATGCTTGGCTGCAGTGCTAACACTTGTCAACGTGTACTTCTTGTTTTCTATGTCTCTTCCAGCCAGTCAGGCTGCTCTTTAGGCAGAGACGTTCCAGATTCACATAAATGATCCTATTGACTCCAAGGGTGTTGAGCTTCCATTTCCAAGGGTGTGGGGCTCACAGGTTTCTATTTCCAGCCCTTTCCCTTGAGCTCCACACCGTGTAATCATCCACCTTCTGGTCATTCCTGCCGTGACCATCCCAGAGATCACTTCTTTAGGCCTCAGTTTCTTCATTTTTAAAATGGGAACAATAAAAGTTAATATTTATAGGGCTGCTGAGAGAGTAAAGTAATACTTGTAAAATGCTCAGAATGGTTAAGAATTAGCTTTTATTACGTGTTCAACTTGGCTGCTCCATTCCCTTGCCTTTCAGTATGGTTCCTGGCCTACAACACTTAGAATATAAATACAGTGTCATTTTTCCCCCTAGTAGGTTCGCTGGTGTAGGACAGTGATATCTGGAGATTTGTTATACTTTATAAATAATTTACATTTATAAATTAGCAGATATAAGGTTGTCTCTTTAAATATGTCCCTTTTGCTCTGGTGTGTTGCTGTGGGGGAGGGGAAAGGCATGTGGGATTACAGCTAGTCCCCAGGAATGTCACATAATCACTAGCTCAGCTTATCTGTGCTCAGCCTTTTGTGAATACAGTTGCTGAGGTGTCATGAATACTTAAAGAGGTTACACACCTTTGCAATTCTTTGCTTCCTCACAGTTTGGTTTAATCAAAACATGGGTCTAGTCTGTAGTTTAGAACATAGCGAGTCACAGCAGACTGGCTTTGGGGCATCTGTCTCTGCTACCAGATTCAGCGGTCATGTCCTGTTAGATTCCCTTTCTTTCCCCTCTACTTCTTGAATGTATTGTCTGACTCACGAAAGATTAAATGTTGACTCTAGCCAATTTTGAACAGCAAACAACCTGGAAGGAGTTTATGGAACTTTTTATGATAACAACTACCATTTGCATAGTCCTTTACAGCTTTAAGCCACTTACTATTTATTCATTTACTTCTGGGTACAGCCTTGTGAAAATTTGAATAGAGCTTTTGTTACCCTTAGGTTAAAGATGAGATGACTGAAGCCCAGAAAGGTTAAGTAGGATCTTAAGTTTCATTGCTAGTAGGTGCTAATACAAGGACGGGTTCATTCTTTCATTTATTCATTCAGCAAGCAACAAGTGCTTACCATGTATTAGGAACTGGAAAGCTTGTGGTGATAAAGAACTTAACTTCAGTTTTCTAACTCCAGATCCTGTGCTTTTTCGAAATCTCTAGAAGATGTTCACTGTTATGGGTTATAATATTTGAGCTGCATGCCTACCCCATAGGCTCACTTTATAAGAGTGGTACTAATGTGGATCCTGCACACGTACTGCACAACTCACTTCATCAACCTCACTCCGTCAGGTTACTCTAGGCTCCTTCTATTTATGAGAGTTATTTTCTCTGTCTTCCTACTTACAGAATTATCAGAAAAGTTTAATTGATCTCAATAAAGTTCTCCTACTAGACCCAAGTATTATTGAGGCGAAGATGGAACTGGAAGAAGTAACTAGACTCCTTAATCTTAAGGATAAGACAGCATCATTCAACAAAGAAAAGGAGAGAAGGAAAATTAAGATTCAAGAGGTATTTGTATTTGATTTTCTTTGAAAGTACTCTTTTGGGGACCTTTGTCTGGCTTCTAAGGTCATACTCCTATGAGTTCTAAAACATTTTTAATTTTATGTTTTCATTCTGATGATCAGTGCCAAAATTTTAACTGGCA